CAACTTGTAATTTTAAAACACTACTGTTTGTCAAGAATAGTTATAACTGACTCATGCAACTTGTAATTTTAAAACACTATTGTTTGTCAAGAATAGTTATAACTGACTCATGCAACTTGTAATTTTAAAACACTATTGTTTGTCAAGAATAGTTATAACTGACTCATGCAACTTGTAATTTCAACACTATTGTTTGTCAAGAATAGTTATAATTGACTCATGCAACTTGTAATTTTAAAACACTACTGTTTGTCAGGAATAGTTATAACTGACTCATGCAACTTGTAATTTCAAAACTACTGTTTGTCAAGAATAGTTATAATTGACTCCTGCAACTTGTAATTTTAAAACACTACATTTTGTCAAGAATAGTTATAATTGACTCATGCAACCTGTAATTCATGATACATCTGTAACATATTCTATGGTCTGTTTTTGATTCCATTTACCACTTTACTGAACATCTAAGAAATTAGTGATTAAAAACACCATAGCATTATTTAATAAATATCTTTGTAACACTATTTTCACCTTTAACTGAAGATTGTATAAATGTATTCTAAAACATTTGAGCCATGTACATAAAAATGTTGTGTTTTATTAACCACCTTCATCTTTATTATTAGACTTCATTTTCCTCATCATGAATCCACTGCCACTTGTCACCTTCATGGATGTGTAACAACTACTCCATTTTATCTTCTCAATACAAATATATTTTTGTGTGTGTTTTATGATTACTGAAATTTAATATTACAACATTTTATTTATCAATATGCAATTTATTTCTGTAACTTAGAATATATCTTACACACTGATACTTACCATTAACAATAATCTCAGCAACTGCTTCTGCCCTACCGGCAGTGTTTACGGCAGTGCACACATAACGTCCGGCATCTGCTTCTCGAATGCCTCTAAACTCTAATACACACTGAAATCTGTGGATAATTATTTTCTTCAAAACATAACTGTCTAGCCATAAATAACATCATAACTCACTTGTACGTGTTTCCAATAAATCTCAAGTGGAGCAGCTGAATGTCTGTAAGAATATGTAGAGTGGTTACACTCCACATTAGTTGATACACATGAATTTACATGTCATCAGAGGTGGAAGGAAACTGAGAGAAGAGGAGGATATATAATAGTGAAAGAACAATACAATGCTCATATCCAGCTGAACTGGGCCTCATTTTATTACTCTGTTCATTAAACTACAAGGATCAGTGATTGTAGTGCACAAAATCACATTTAACATACTGATAAACTGAAGCTGTAAATTACTTAAGAGTTCCTGCAACACTGGCTTATTAGTAAGGAAGCAGAGACTGAATTAATTAATAAGGAAGCAGAGAGTGAATTAATTGAGGATACTATTGAATATTATTCTGATTTGGCAGAAAAAAAGGATAAAAGCAGGATGAAAGGATGAACTCTCTGTGTTAAGGGTTGGAGAATGTTGACATGCTGCTCAAACAATTAATGTAATCACACAATTAACCACAGTAGTAGTGTTGACCTCCCATTTGCTACAGCCAGGAATGAGAGATATGTCCCAGTAGTTAGGATGGTTCGATGAGCTGCAGCTTGTACCAGAAGGGATTTCCAACCCTTTCTTTTCTAAGCTATCAAGTGAATTTTGTGGTGAAATATCTTACGTATTTTGTTATTTTCTCAGTTTTGATTTATGGAAACAGTATGATAACTAGAGAACCTGGAATGTTAATAACTAGCAAGCCAATAAGACTAGCTAGTATACTTAGAATACCACTGACACAATTGGAAACATTATGTTCATAACACTGCTTAAACTGAAAGAAGTATTTAGATTTATTCCTACAGAGATCTTTTGTTTCTGATTTTCCATGAGAAACACCTATAAATATGCTTTGAAAGAAATGATAAGCAAGCCTGTACATATCTAGTGATGATAGAACTATCTTACTTGGTGAAATTTTACTGTTAAGAAAGAGAGTGAAAATCAATATTCAACTTATGCATGATAATATATATTAACTGTTGTTTTTACTAGAAAAAGGTATAGAGCAACAGTATTTATTTGCTATTTTTAAATGTTTCTAGTGGGCTAAGTATATTTTGTGTTTGTTGTGTGTGGACAGTAATGTAGTGTAGTGAACAGTCAGGTTATATTAAGATGTGATAGTGAAAGTTTACAGCATTAAAACTGTTATTCTCACATGGTTTAAGTCTCCTATGAACCATAATTGGTGTCTGTGTATGTTATACACATATTAACAGTCAGGTTATATTAAGATGTGATAGTGAAAGTCCACAGCATTAAAACTGTTATTCTCACGTGGTTTAAGTCTCCTACAAACCATAATTGGTGTCTGTGTATGTTATATACATATGAACAGTCATACTTATGTATGGTAAACAGTCATCACATTAAACAAATGCATATGTCAGTTATGGGATAGTTATATTGTATCCTATATTACTTTGTGTATGAGGGACTTTTTTATGCCTATCTCTTGATCAGCTACAAAGAATGTGGAATATGAAAACATTTTTGATGTTTTCAGTTAGATTCATCTCTTATTACTGAGAGTTAAGACGTACTGAAGAAGTCTAGTCATTTATTTGAGGTATTTAACATTGAAGCTGTTGATCATGTGTGATCATTTTTCGTTTCATTAACTAACCAAACAATTTTTATTTATCCCAATAAAAATAACTTTCTTCTGGTTTTATTTAAATGCAGTTTTCTTTCATTTAATTTTTTTCAAACATAGAATTTATTATATACTCCAATCTGTAACTGTTCTTTCAGCTTGTATTCACCAGTCAAGTGTTTCATACTTCTTTTAGCTACAGTAATTGAAGTTTACTTTTTCATTTTCACACTGTTACCAATGCATGGAATAAATAGCACAAGATACAGAGTGCATACTTCAGCTATTAATTTCCTGTTATTGTGAAAATAATGTAACTGTGTATAATAGTAATTTTTGCAAATAATAATATACAAGTGAATAAAGCTAAACATGGAAAAATTTAATTGTGATAGCTATAGTTTATACATGATATATTACTTGTTCCAATATTTAAAAAATATTATTAAAAGCATTTCAACTCAAAGAACAACTTCATATTAATTTAGATTTTTTAAAATTTGTCCTTGTTTTTACTATTTTTGGTATTTGTGATTTGAAAAATATACTATGTTTCTATGAAGAGATACCACATTGAAAACAGCAAGTACAGCATGATAATGCTTTTCAGATAAAGAATTTGAGATGCATTAGCTATTGGCATCAAATTTCTTTGTGTGTCTTATTTAACTTGATCCTTAAAATGACAGAGTGGATATTAACACATTTAGCATTTGATAGTGAAGGATTTTATCTTTATTTCTTTGGTGGTTTCAACTTCTTTTAAGAATAAGGTTTTGTGGAATATGCTTTGTTTTTTTACAGATAGTACCTACATTTTTTGTAATGAAGCAACAAGTATTTTTTTCAGGTAGTTTACGTAGGTTTCTGAAGTTCTTTACTAATTAGCGTATACCATATTATGCTGCAGTTTTTGAGAAACATACATGATATAATTAGGCCTAAGTACAGTAGACCTAAATATAGGTTAGAGTATTCTACTTCAAAAATCATAAAACTGTTCTATTAGTGGCAAATCATAGTTTCTCCAAATTTCTATTTTGATGTGTGTGTATGTGTGTTTTATGTATTAAAATTACTTTGTAGAACAAGATTAAGGCTTCCATTGTTTTGTTTATTTTTACCAACAATATTTATATTGCTTATTAAATCACAAAGGGCAATAAATATCTATCAAAGCTATCAATGAAACTAAATTTTGCTGAAAAATAAAGATGTTTTTAAAATTAATAATAATACATATTTTCAGCTCCTCCTAGAATTAGTGTGAATCCAACACAACAAACGGCTCGAGAAGGAGATGTTGTTGTGGTTCAGTGTACTGCAACAGGAGATCAACCAATTACTATAGATTGGAATAAAGTACAAGAACGCCTTCCATCACATGTCAATCAGAGAAATGGTCGGCGAGTTTAAAATCAGTGTTGAGAAATCAAAATTTTTTCAAAACAACTGAGAGATTTAATAAACCTAAATCCTCTTATATTGTTTAATCACATGTTGATATGTACAAGATTATGTGACCAACCAAGTATCCTAGTGATGGAAATTATTCAAAAACCTACAGACAAACATCTAGACCAAGAATATGATGAAACTACAGATGAAAAGAATTTTCAAATAAAATGTAGTTCCAACAAAAAATAAGATGTAAGAATTAGAGAAACTTTAGATATCAATAAACTTCACCAAAATTTAACATTAATTATCAGTAATTGAAGAAAAAAAACAAATTATGTATGATATGTGGTATAAGCATACCATACGTGTAAAAATATCAATTAATAGCATTTTCATATTAGTTAACTTTCAACTGATCAGTTATATAAAGTAAGAACAGTAAAAAAAAATAACTATTATATATCTCTTTGCACATTACACACACCCAATTGTTTAATACTGTTTACAAAAACAAACAAGGGGCATAAAGCCAGCTACATTTTTACTTGCAAGTGAACGAATTATGTTACCTACTCCAGTAAACTTTTAATACAGAAATGTTTAAATATAATCTTTCCTAATTTCTAATATTTATGCTGTCTGAAGAGCTAGTTCGACTCACCTCGGGCCCAACGTCCTAGGAAAGCATGGAAGTATAAAGTAGTATATTCAAATAAACACTACTTTATAATATTTAAATATACTTGTGGCTTCTAAGAGTACTTCTAATAAATCAGGATGTGCAGTATAAGGTATTACTTTTATATCAGCAACATCTGAGTACAAATTCGATGACGAGGAACCCACTTTGAGACTAATAATGCTTGGAGACTGTTTGAATGGGTAATGAAGAA